ACCAGAAAGACCGAGAGAGACAGAGAGACAGAAAGCGAGAAATCACCCCCCAGGGGGGATGGTCACGCCGCAATCCCTTCTCCTCCATTCTCCTCTCAGGATCTTGGGCAAGCATGCACACACCCCTGGTGTGAGTTTAAGCCACCAGGTCTGGGACTCATGGGAGTCCAGCGACATAGCCATGACATCAACTGCTGGTCCCGTTTGCCATATTTGTAAAACTAGTTTATCGTATCTTTATTAGAAATCTATTTTCATGAAATTAATTTCTTCCTGTTCAATGTAGCTCCGTTCTTTAGTTGTCCTCTGCTTCTATTTTAAGACCATTCCTAACACTGACCATTAGCAGATTTATATCTGGGACACTAAATACAAACCAAATGGAAACGGAATAAAATTGGCAGCCTGGCTAGGCCAGAGGTCCGGGATCCCAAACTTTTAAAATATTATTGGTGTAAGGCCAGTAGGTGGCATGGTAACTAGAGCTCTGGACTCCCATATGGCCAATTGTGGTTAGAGTTCCAGACCAGTGGCTTGAAAATCACACCAGGTGGGTGTGCTTGTGTGCCCCAAATCCTGAGAGGAGAATACAGGAGAAGGGACTACAGTGTGGCTGTCCTTCCTGGGGGGTTATTTATTACTTTATTTCTCTCTGTCTCTCTCCAGCGAGTGCATGCACCCTATAGCAATAAATAAATAAATAAATAAATAAATTAATTAATTAATTAAGTATTCTTGATGTTTTGGAGAGGTGATCTAATTTGGAATCTGATACAACCTATGCAACCTTTCCTTCAAGTATGCATACACAAGTGTTCTGCAGAATTTCCAAGTATTCATAAACCTCTCCCACCTCTCACACTTATTCATGAACTGTGAACTGTCTTGTCTTCATAAACCAAAATGAACCTGAATAATAATAATAATAATAATATTTAGAGATCTTAGGGCGTGTGTGCTCACAGGAAAGAGAGACAGTCTGAGACAGTGAGAAATCACCACCTGGGAGGATGGCCACGTGGCAATCCTTTCTCCTCCATTCTCCTCTCAGGATTTGAGTTTCAAGCTGCCAGGTCCAGAACTCGAACTGTCGTCAGCTATGTGAAAGTTCAGTGCCTTAGCCACTATGCCTTCGGTTAGCCCCTGTACCTGAAAAATTTTAAGTGATGGTCAGCAGTTAAAGGGGAAGAAGCTTCTACAGAAGTTATGAACATAGCAGCCAGCAAGTGGTGGGGTGGTTAAGGCACTGGACTCCCACGTGGACAACTGTGGTCTGAGTACTACACCTGGTGGCATGAAAATCACTTCAGGGAACCAGCAGATGGCAGATGGCAATGTTTTTGGACTCCCACATGATCAACCGTAGTTCAAGTTCCTGACCTGGAGACTTGAAACTCATGCTGTATGTGCCCAAGATCCTGAGAGGAGAACGTATAAGAGACTGGCCATCCTCCCCTGGGGGGGTTGATTCTCTTTCTGTCTGTCTCTCTCTGGTGAGCCACAGGTGCACTATAACCAAAAACTCTGAAAAAAAAAAAAAGAAAAGAAAAGAAAAGAAAATCATGCTGGGCACGTGTGTGTATGCCCAAAATCCCAGGAAAAGGGATTGCAGTATGGTCACACTCCTTGGGGGCGGTGATTTCTCACCTTTTTTTTTTTTAAAGAGTTATTTTATTTAACTTTATTGTATTGTATTTGTATCGTATTATATTTATTTATTTATTTTAATTTGCCCAGAGAGAAAGTAAGAAAGCAAGCCACCAGGTCTGGGACTGGAACTTCAGTAGGCCATGAAGGAGTCCAACACCCTTAACCACCCTGCTACCTGCCAGTCCCGATTTCTCCCTTTCCGTCTGTCTCTGTCTCTCTCTGGCAGGCACATACACTCCATGACAACAATAACAAAAGTTACAAGCTTAATCAACAGGTGGCACTGTTCTGCGGGGGGACCCTAGCTGGGGTGATCGCAACAGGGCCATTACTCAGGCGAGTTCTGCCTGATTCCCCAGGCCTCCACGACTTGAGCTGCAGCAGTCAGGCAAAACGGGTGGGACTGGACGGTCCAGGTCCATCACGCCTGACGAGGACAGCAACAGGTCGGGTTGTGTGAAAACAGTGATGCTCTCCGTAGCTGACACGAAGTGCTTCTTTCTGAGCCACAATTCATTCTAGGAAGAAAAGACTTCCCTCTCGTGCTTCAAGGGTCAGAAAGATGAGGCCTGTAGAGGCGGACCACCTTAACGATGGTCCCCAAGCTTTAGGGTTCATCCTGCCACTTTCCGGAGGGAAGGTTTGGATGTGTCCCCGATGAAGAGGCTGGGCGAACCAGGTGCCACGCACCTTTCTTGGGCCCCATGATTCTCTATTTGTAACTCCAAAGCCCCTGTGGAGGCCGCTGCACCTGTGGGCGGCTTGGACAGGAACTAATGGATGTCCCCTTCCATTTGGGTGTGTTAGGGAAGACCCAAGTGAGCAGTGGACGCCACTCCACCCACTGTGCGAGGCCTTTCTGAAGCGTTAACGCCCACAGCCAGGAAGCCGGGGAACCCTCCAGCACGGTGCAGGACCGTAGAGCCGCCCACGGACCGCGGCCCGCCTCCCGTCCCGCCTCCGGCCCCGCCTCTTGAATGAAGGACGCGCTCCCAGCGGCGCCCGAGCGCCGACGTTCGCCTCCTCGCTCCGCCCCTATGTGCTTAGAGCCCGCCCTTGACCCCGCCCCCATGCGTCAAAGATCCCCGCCGAAGACCCCACCAAACGCCCCCCCCGAGGCCCCGCCTGTGGCCTAGTCCCGGAGCGTCGAGGGCCACTTCCCGGCCCCTCCCTGAGCACAGGGACTCGCCCTTGATCCCGCCTTCATGCTGCGAGGCCCCGCCCCGACTGCCAAAGCCCAGCCTCTAAGCTCGCC